GTCCCATTAAATTTTGACGTAGTATTGTCGTTACATCGTTCTCACATAGTATATATTATTATAAAATAAAAATAAAAAAATAAAATAAAATAAAATAAAATACATTTATTTCAGGTGATCATAACCCATATTATTACAATGTTAATCCGATAGGTAAAATATATTAATAAGTAAAGATGCAATTGTTCTATTTAGGAAATTTATAGGGATATGTCATTATAACCATAAATGAAACAGAATGATATAATAATAAAATTAAAATTAAAATTAAATAAATCAAATTAAAAGTAAATCAAAATTAAATCAAAATTAAATCAAAATTAAATCAAAATTAAATCAAAGATAAAGTTAATATAATCTCTTCATCCGACATTGCGGGTTGTGTCTTTCACAGCAATGACGTATGTAGGGACAGTCCACTCTACTTGCTATCATTGCCAGAGCGGTATTGGAGCTGGCCCGAACCGTGCGCACCAAGGCAGCACTTCTTTTGCGCATGTTACTGTTAAAACAATCGGTGTTCGCTGCTGCAAACATGCCCGATGCGCTACAGAAACGAGGCAACCCCAAAACCGCCCTAAACGCATTGTTAAATTGGACCCGAAGGGAACTATAGGACTTTTGTGAGTATTTTGCCCACAAGCTACACGTATACAAAGACGTGCAGTAGGCCCGGAAAAGACTAATCTTCACATCCGTGGAGCATCGAGCAAACCTGCGGGCCAACATGTTGGCTCTCCTTGATAGTGCCCTCCGTTCCCGTTCGATATCAGCATGGTCTCTGAGGTCGACAGCAACCATATGACCCAGATAAGTGAATTGGCTCACTCTCTCAAGAGAAATACCATTGAGTAGTACAGGTGGTAGGTTCTGTGGACACTTAGCGCCTGCCTCCTCAAAAACCATGTATTTACTTTTCGTCACATTGTATTTTAACCCGTGTACATTAGCATACTCCTCACAAGTACGCATAAGTTTTCTCAGGCCACAGATAGACGCACTCAGCAGGACCATATCATCTGCGTAGCTCAAATTGTTGACGCATACGCCATCTACATGACATCCTATATGTTGGCTACTAAGTGCGACAATCAGCGAGTCCATATATAAATTAAACAGCGTTGGCGAGGTTAGTCCACCTTGCCTAACGCCACATTCAAGTTTGTACGACTCCGACATTGCCCCCGCCCATCTGACATTATTTATTTGGTGCGTATACCAGTACTTGAAGATGGATATAACTTCTTGGGAGAGCTGAATATCCTCAAGTTTCTTCCATAATATCTTATATGACACCAGATCAAAAGCCCTTGATAAGTCGAGGAAACACGCATAAACTGGTGTTTTCCGTCTCGTATAATATCTGACGGTGTGTTTTAAGCATAGTATAGCACTTTCAGTCGACAATTTCGGTCTAAACCCAAACTGATTATCATGCAGTTTTATATTCAAATGCATGTTAAGTAAACCGTCCAGTATCTTAGCTATAATTGTCGCCAGGGAGATAGGCCTATAGTTACTTTTATCCGCAAGGTCACCGGTCTTATTTTTCACAATAGGCACTACAATAGTCCTTATGAGGTCCTGTGGCAGGTAGGAGTGACTTACACACAACGAATAGAACATCGATAGAACTCTAGGCGCATGTAGTCCAGCGTGCTGTAGATGTTCAATGCTCAATCCGTCGTGTCCCGGGGATTTACACCTCGTCATCCCTTTAATGATTTTGGTTACCTGTTTAGCATAAAATTGTACATCCACTTTCCCACTCGGCCTCCCAGTATCAAGCCCTTCCCCCGCCGTCGGCGGTCCCAAAGGCGATTTTACAGAAAAATTATGCTTAAAGACATCAGCAATGCCCTTGTGATCACTTACTCCATCGACACTCACAGGAAGACAAGGCGTTGGATTTATTTTCTTGGTACTTTTCCAGAAACCACGAAAATCACCCTTGGAATGTTTTTCAGCCAAAGCGTCCATTTTAATATCGTTCTGTACTTACACATTTCACCATACATGACACCGCTCTTGGGTCTACCACTCGCAGCCCATTCACCAAAGGACCTCCTAGCATTAGTATGGGCATCTCTAACGTGCTTATTCCAACCCACGATACGCGCCCCACGTCCACCTGCTTTTGTGCCTCCTCGACTTAGCAAAGATGCATCGCTTAGGGCGGCCACAATGTCCGAGTACAACCTGTCAAGAATACTCCGGTGGTCCGGATCGTCACAAAAATAATCAGCGCATTTTAAACATTCTGACGGAAAGTCAATACACCTAAGTCGCTTTTGACACTCTGCGGTAAATTTAGCAATCTGTTCCCCACTACGAGACCCCCACATAACATCTTTATTGTTAAACGTATGTTTGTGAGGCAGCTTCAGTGTTATAAGATTTAGATTGCATGTAATGATGAGAGGGAAATGGTCAGACCATAAAGTGTCATATTTAACATGAGCATCTATGACTGTTTGCTTTGCTGAGCATGTCACTACACAGTGATCCAGCCAACTACACGTGCCGGTTACATCACTAATAAAGGTATAAGTACCCGAATCAGCACCCAACAAATCTACATCGATACATGTCCAAAATTGATCCTTACAGTAATTAGAAAGTTCACTATAAAACATCCCGGATAAGTCTGCATTAAAGTCACATAATATAAAAACCGATTCAGTTCCATATTCTTCAATAATAGCACTTACCGAACTTAAACAGTCTATAAACTCCGGCAGGTTATCGGCAGAATTCGTAGGCATATATACACTTACCACAATCAGTAGCCGATCACTTGTCGTTATCTTTATAGCACACATACGAGCATTGTCACACCGTAACACACACACTTGTTGGAACACGCTATTTTTCCATAACAAAGCAACACCGCCATAAGGTCGCCCTATGAGCATACCGGCGGACGTGTCGACCGCCGATGTGCCCACACACCCGAAGCCGCCGTCGATCGTACTCAGGTATGGTATGTCCTCCGGCAATAGCCACGTTTCCTGCAGAGCTATCAAGTCACAGGTTCGACATAAATCTCTGACACTGTCAACAGAACGCTTGATGTTTTTACAATTGAAACTAGCGAATTGGTATTTGTCCATTAATTTCATTTGTCTGGCCGTTATTAAACATCAATTTATTCGCTTGTCTGTATTTAAAACTATTGAAGCGTCTAAACACAATGCCCTCAGGCCATATATTTTCATCCAGATACGAAGATAATCTAGATTCAGATACAAAAAATTTATAGGCCTTGTGATTTCTTTCTATTTTCATATTAATTTTCTCTAAGGACACCAAATCATTCATCTTAATTTGTATGTATCGAATTATGTCATCTTCCGTCGTATCTCTGTGTATATTTGTGATAAATAACGGAACCATTCCATCCGCCGCTCTAAAATTACATTCAGAATCCTTTGCCTTACCCGATTTTCCAACATAACGGTATCGGTAGTTATTTGATTGTTTTTTACGATACGATACTGTTTTCCATCCTTCGTCATGTTTGTTTACTTTTAGTTCAGATTGCCGCTCATGGTCTGTGACAGTCAGCTGTGACGCGGGCGGCGCCGCCACTACTGAGCTCTGGCGCGACGGCGATACTTCTGCACTCTTCCCTCTTGTATCATCGGCTTCGGTCGGCTCGCAACTCGGCACGCCCGTAGCTCGTCGCCCGCTATCAGCTGACCGTTGCTGCGCGCTTGAAAATTGATCGACTTGTTTTCGATTTACCTGCACAACTCTTCGATATTGAGGTGATTTATTGGAGTCATAATTATATTCGTTGATTGACTCATTTAAAGATGAGTTATGCAAGTGTGAAAGACCTTCCGGACCACTATCTAATAAACAGGCACCTCGTTTCGTATTAACTTTGAAGGCCGATGTAGGTGGCAACGAATCAGTTCTCATCTGCAACAATGCAGCCTTTAACTCTTGTATTTGATCTAACGTAGCATACGATGATTTTATTTCCTCAATAGTGGCTTGCATTCTTGAGATATCTTTCATAAGCTTGGAGCAATCCAAGTGATCAAAGTCCAAAGGTGGAAGCCTGTCAAGTTGTCTTGCTACAAATACAGGCATTTCATCCGGTTCCGCACTTTTAAATAGGTGTATGATATCTGCGAGGTCACGTTCTTCCTTGCCTTTGTTTTTCCTTGTTATTTTTCGCAGGTCCGTTGATATAGAATCAAACAACAAAGCTTTCGATGTTTTTATTTCCTCGCTGGTGTATGACTCAATACAAACTCTCACCAAAGTCATTTCGTCAATAACCGATACTTTATTTTGCACATACGATAAAAGTTCATCAATTACAATATTACAATTACTACATTTGATTGTATTCGTCATTTTAATTTACCACGGATTCTCCGCTAACGACAATACGCGACACTCCGGCGTCAGTGCGCGCGCGCCACTATACATTAGGTAAAGGATCAGATAACGTATCAATGAGTCTGTAAAAAACATTATTTAAAAAGAGTAACGATGGAGTTTCTCGCTCGTTCTTCTGCATTCGAAACGACACTTTGGAACAAGCGCCTAATTTCACTGACAGACGGACGGACAATTCAATTTCAAAAGTGCCTAATTATGGTTTAATGGAAATAAATACTTTGACTTTGATTTGGACTTTACCTTTATAATGTCGTTGGAAGACTTACATACACACACTATAGTCTTACCAGCTACTACAGCGCGCATTCATTCGCTCTGCTGAGCTCCTATCGATCATAGCGTGGTGTTTTAATTATTCAAATCGGACCACCAGTTTCGGAGATTAGCGAATTCAAACAAATAAACAAACACTTCACCCCGGCTTCGCACGGGTGCAGATGCAATGCAAAGACATTTTCATATTTTCAGGAAGGCGACTATGACACGATGTATAATTCAAAGACATTGAAATACACAAGCACTAGAATTTTAGATAAAAAGACTTGTAAAAGTTCCTATGAAACATATCCTAAACTTGCCAAAACTATTGATGAATACATGATCTGTACTGCAGATGAAGGTTTTCTAGATGACCAGGGCAACGTGAAAGTGAGAGAAAGTCCCTTTTTGACTGGATGCAGTAAGGAAAAAAGAGGTCCAACATTTGTGAGTAATTTGCAAATAGGGATGATGACAGGGTATTAAAATTAAAAATTTAACTATTCCGTCAGTCAGGTAATGAAAAAATATTAGACATGTATTTTTTTAGTTTTGTTGTATAATAAAATGATAGATGAATATAGTGGGGGCTAAAACGTCATTTCTTCGTTTAAAATGTACATAGAAGTGACGTCAGGAGACATTTCAAACCAATGTATTTTCGAAACTATTCGTTCCCCTAAAAAAAAAAGTACGTGTCTGATTTTTTTAAATAATCTACCAGAAGGACATTAAAATAAAAATTAGTCATGTAGGGTACATTACAATTTTGTCGTGTGTTGACGACATTGAAGACATATAATTAAATACACTGAACAAAGCTCCACTAGTTTCGAGTCACATAGGAGTCTTTGCACACGAGTCGCATGCGTGTTTACGCAGCCTACTGACTGAAGTAAACCGTATTTTTAAGTTAATTCAACACGGTAAACACGGTATTCCGTGTGACATGCTGAACTATATTAGAAAAATAATATATTTATCATAATTATTCGTACCGTTTCTGTGGGTGTCGTAACAGCCGACTAAGGAGCTACACACTAGACTGAGACTGAGCAGCAACATAAAGAATGTATAATATGTAAATGATAAACCAGATCATTAAGAACTGCAGTCATTAACTACCCAGCTCAGCGGTGAAATAATGGCAAAATATAGAGAAGACTTAGGTCCTCACTATATAGTGACGACATGAGCGGTTGATACTCGTTGAGTACCGTCATTAGAGACACAATTAAAGAACAATAGGTTGCGGTCACCGGTGTCCTCGCGGTGTTTGACAGTTTAATAAACACTGACTTTATTTTAATATAACTTAAAGTAGGTACATGTTTATTTCAAACACCTTTAGTTTTAAGAGCTTTAATATTGGTTTTTATCACAATGTTTTAGCGTCACCATTGTCATCTGAATCTATAGAAAATTTGTATCATTTATTTTATGCTTAAGCTTAAGGGCTAGGTAAACCGTTTATACGGTTTAGCTGCTTTATTTTTTGTACTGAATTTTGTATCCTATAATAGGACTGACATTTTCCTCTAAGGACAAAAACCCTTCTTATTAAATAAAGATAAAAAAATCACAAAAGCATGGATTAACATGAGCACCTTGTCACTTAGTAGCATGTGTGTCGGAACTCGGAATGATGCTCAAAATTAGAATGGTTGTTTCCGAATCGACAAGCGTTCGATTTTTAAACATTTTTGAGCATGCTCAATAGAACGCTTTTTACCATGCAATTTTAAAGCATGTGAAACAGTTCTTTTACAACCAAATAGTGATGAATAATTAAAAAATATTTTCTGTTTAAGCTCGACTACGAAGAATCATATCAAGAAGTGGTAATTGATTCTACGAGAAAGAAGTTGTCAGATTCATTTAATGGAACAGTTAGAAATAAAACTGTTACTAAACTTAGACGGAGACGTATCCCTCGTCGGCGCACTCGAAGACAATATGGAATTTGTCAGGTTTGCACATATAATTATGAACGTACATATGTTTTTCTGCAAATGAAACCTAATTTGAACTGCATGAGCGTTTATCTGCGGACGGGAGGGTGGTGCTGCATACCGCATGCTGCAGATTCATTCCTTCAGCAAAATATAAACTGAAAATTTTCCCAGTTGTAGTCGACCAGTATATTTGTCTTGTAGTGTAGCTAGACTGCCTCACTGGCCGAGTGGTCACAAGGTCGACTGAAAGGCAAAAGGTCTTGAGTTCGATTCCCGGGTCGGGCAAATTATTAATGAGTTAAAAAAAATCTGGTATTCTTATAATAATTCTCAGTAGTAATGCGGAGTCTGGAAATGTGCCCGGTATATGACAATAGTCTCACCCCCTATTACATGGGACTCATAACATAAATAGTGAAAAGTGGGTGTTACATCGTACAGTGGCATTAACTCGTCGAGTACAGTAATTATTTGTATTCTATATTCCGTGATAATTATAGACACAATTATAGAACAATAGGTTGCGGTCACCGGTGACCGCTTGGTGTTTGACAGTTTAAGTGCCGTAATGTGCGCCTCTGCCTATCCCTTCGGGAATAAAACGCGTCAAATTATGTTATATTGTTAAGCATGGATTTTCGCAAAGTATCGCCTGATGAAATGCGTGTCTAATGTTTTAAAATAATCTACCAGACGGACATTAAAATAAAAATTAGTCATATATCCAAGCCAAGCTAGTAGATAGTAGAGGTTTTTAAAAATCTGGGAATATATACAGTCCTAATAGTTGGCAGTTCATTCAAGTAAATAAATTGACATGGAGTATGTTTGCAGAATGACCATGGAGGACCTTTGACGACTTGGGTCGGAAACAGTGAGATCCTCGTGGGTGTTGCTACAATGTTCAGAGTAAACAGATCATCATGGAATGCATGCATTGGACCTCATTTGTTTACAAGTACACTTTGCAACGGTGAATTTATTGATTGTACTTTGTCTAATAAAACTTCAAGGTGAGTTTGTATATTCTCAGCAATGCTGTAAATCCATTTCTAGTTCGTTTATTTGCCTAATAAGTTCTATTTATTTAGGTATGCTCAAAAATTATCTTGATAATTTTAACAGACTTCAAAAAAAGGAGGTTTTCATTTTGAGCTGTATGTATGTTTGTGCGCGATTATCTCGCGATTAGCTGAACCGATTTTGATGTGGTCTTCAGAAGAAAAGTGTTTACTACAATTAGAAGAAGGTTTTAGTATAATAATTAGCTGGTTTCAAAAAAAGAGAATAGGGGTGTGAATACGGTATTTTCAAACGTAGTTGATAAAAGAATTATTTAACCACAGATGAGTTACAAAAATTATATTTGTTTTTTATTTCATGGGATGACGTTAGACCACTATCTCGCCTGGTGGTAAACGATGATGCGATCTACGATGGAGCACGTCGACCCATAAGCAACCTATTCACTCGGGCATTAGAGACACCCAGAAATATATTATAGAAATTCACAACACTACCGACCTGTAACTACAAACATAGCAATCGGTAGCTTAGGCTATCTGTCAGTAGACATTTTATATTTATTGCTTAATATTTTAGACGTTCTGTCTGCGATGCTCCTGCAATAATGAGAGGTTACCATGTCATTGAAAATTACGTACACTGGACAACAGACCGAGAAAGGTAACTTTATAATTAGATTTTTTTATTATTATAGATTAGTTTTCTGTACTATGTACTCTAGTTTTCTCAACTGAACTGAACTTTGCTATCTTTAAATCAGCTAAAGATAGAATTTGAGTCAAAATATAATTCTGGAATTTTGTAGTTAATTTTGTGCTCATCGCATGTCAGTAGGCTCTCCTATTACAATCATAACATTACTGGTAAAAAGTGAATGTTACATTGACTATGTGTCTCTGACATTGATGATTAAAAGACGAATAGGCTAATGCTGAAAATCACCCCCGCGACTCGAGCTATCACGCTCAAGTCACGGCCTTTTTTGCTGAATCCTTAGTACGGGTTTGTTTAGTACGAGTACGCGTTCAATGCTCCGATTGGCTGGCTCCAATGAACTAACCAATTGGATCGTCTGAGGCGGTAAAACAAGCTCGTACTAGGTCTTCTGAGCACTGGCCGTTTTGCTTCGTGTTAACTGGTTCTTTTTTTAAATTATCTTACGTAAATTTTGGTGGTTTTTTTCTTCTTTCGTATTATAATATTTCATTCTCTTTTTCAGTGATGATGAAAATGATACACATACGGTTATTGAACAATTTGTCGATGGAGTTAAAACACCGTACAAACCTCTGGAACCAACGTTGTTACCTGTACTTGATCTGTATCATGAAAATAGTTCGGATACCCTACCTGCTATTTAATTGCACCGTCATATTTTTTATATCTTTTTCTACCATCTTTAGAATTTGTCATTTAAGGCTGACTGCTGATTTGACATTTCCTCGTTTTTTTTATAATTATTTAAAATATATAACACCTTAATTAATAATTAATGTTATACTATTTTAATTGAAATAAATACATCATTTTCAAGGAGCCCACCTCCGTAAATGATGCCTCTGGTTTCACAGGTGGGCTTAGGTGTTTGGCTACCATCACGTACCGTAAGATTTTTATATAAAAAAAATCAATGATAGGATATTTAAAATAATTCTGAGTTTTAAAAAATATAAAGTGTTGAAATCAAGAAATAATGTTTACATTAAACATGTTATTAGAAATTAATTATAGTTACATTATTATTATTTTTTTTTGTTTTAATATCGTTTGGTACACGAGGATTTTCTCCTGTGTCGGGAGTGCGTTTCAAAATATATAAGGTCACATATACATGACACTTAGACCCGGATCAACAATTTGTGGATCACACACAGAGGTTGTTCCATGCAAGAATCGAACGCGTCACACGTTGCGCGGCAGCCGCTTGCCCAGCTACCGCACCAACCGTGTCTTAATATTTTTAGTAACACCGAAACAAAAACATCTTGAAAATTAAGGTGTCTACGCAAATCTTAATGAATGCAAAATTACGTTTAAATTATGTTTATTAAAGGACATGACTTCATACTGCTTTCTAAGTTTGTTAGGATTTTTTTAAGCAGGGAAAGTTATCGAAATACTTCTCCTACCCGGGTGTGGCGGGAGGGGAGTGTGAGACTCTTACTGACTAAAAACCACCCCGTTCCTACTCCTGCACTTCGAGTCAAAGCCCGTTAAGTCCTCCGCGCCTCCGTATCGGCAACAGCCCTATCGGGCCCCCTCCGTGGTGGTCTGATGGCGCTTTGAGGCGCGTGCGGAACGCGACGAGCCGTACGATCGGGAAGTTTGTTAGGATGCACCTACATAATATGTTTATTATTCTTTCACACAAAACGACGAAGCAGTATGTTTTACACAAAGATAGACTGAAGTACTGAACTAACAGATAGACTACTTTTTAACCCAGTACCGCAGGCGGAGGCTTTGGCAGAACCCAGAATTATTTTATACAAAATTCTAAACGCAAATTATTTAAAATGATGATACAAATCGTTTTAGAAACTGATTTCGTTATTATGATTTATTAATAGGTAGCTGTGGTCTTAGGGCAATCATTTGATTGTCTGAAAACTTATCTAATTTCGCAAACTCCATGTATATCTTCTTATGTTCCTCATCCTTTTCTCGATTGTCGATTTCGATTTCATTTTGTGCCGGCCTGTAAACAATACATATTTTATACTTAGACTGCACAGACTTGGTCTGTATGTATCACTACATAGAATAAAACAAAGTCGCTATCCGCCGTCAGTCTGTCCCTCTGTATGTGTGTATCTTTAAAACCACGCAACGGATTTTGATTTTTTTTTAATAGATAGAGTGGTTGTTATGGAAGCTTTATACATATAATACATGCATATTGCACCCGTGTGAAGCCAGGGCGGGTCGCTAGTAGTACTTACGCATTTATAGGAATAAATACGTAAGTACATACGTATAATAAACCGATATTACTAAATAATATATCTGCCTGTTTTAATAATAATATTTCGGTGTATATTAAAGTTAAATATGACATCATATAACTAATTATATCAAAGATTTTGTGAATCTTAAAATAATTATGACTCGTTGGCCGAGTGGTCGCAAGAGCAACTGTCTGATAAAGGGTCTCGGGTTCGATTCTGGTCGGACAAAATATTACGGGGATTTTTAAAATAATTCTCAGTAGTAGCACGGAGTCTGGTATTGTGCCCGATATATGGACTCATAACATAAATAGTCAAAAGTGGGTGTTACATTGTACAGAGGCTTAAGTTCCGTAATGTGCACCGCTCCCTTCGGGGATAAAATTATAATAATGATCTTAATTTATTTTGTCTGATAATAATTAACCTACCCTGCAGGATGATTCTTCCATGACACGAACTTCTCAACAGTTTCATATCCTCTTTGGATCGGTGGACTGTCGCAAATGGATCTCCTCCTGTAAAATTTATTATGATTGAGACTCTGTGTACTGGAATGTATACTATGCGATTTATTAGAAGAACTATGGTTATTTATAAATGTATCTATTAACTTTAGTTACTTATTATTAAGACCGACTCATTGGACGAGTGGTCGCAAGTGCGACTGCTGAGCAAGGGGTATAGGGTTCGATTCCCGGATCAAGCAAAGTAGGTATTACAGGGTTTTAAAAAAAATCTCAGTAGTAGCACGGAGTCTGGAATTGTACCCGGTATATGGCAATAGGCTCACCCCCTATTACATGGGACTCATAACATAAATAGTGAAAAGTGGGTGTTACATTGTACAGTGACATTATGTGCCGTAATATACACCTCTGCCTACCCCTTCGGATATAAAAGGCGTGATGTAATGTTATGTTATTAAGTATTAAAATAAAATTTTGTATGTTTTATAGACAACAGTACATTAATTTACCAACCCAACTTGTTTGTTTTAAGATATGTAAATTAGATTATGTGTGTGGACCATATTTGCAAAGAATCGGCCGATTCGACCGAAGTGATAGGTACCACAACCTCACAAAAATGTGGCACGACGGTTTATTTTTGAGAAAAATCATCAAATGACTTTCTAGCTTTAGCTTACCCACTGACTAAAAACCACACAGTTCCTTCATGTGCTCCAAACCAGAGCCCCGATAACCGTCAAGGTCATCTGCAGGTTTGCGTTGTGTTTCTACCTTTTGAGTGACCCTAACCCCGGTTCTCACCTTGTCTTCGACGATAAAATACAATGCAAAAACATTCCATTGCATCGTGTACTCGTATATAAATAAGGTCCAGTGCATGTAGACTCAGTAGTCACTTTAAATACAGAAGCCACACCGATGAGTACTTCATTGGCCCCCGCCCAAGTAACTAAAGGTCCTCCGTGATCATTCTACAAAAAAAGTCATTGTCAGTAACATCAATAACCCGTGGTAGTTTAAACTGCTCTCATCGTAAATTAATCTACATAATATACGAATATTTTCATGCGAATCAGGCCTATGACATAATTTGCGTGCAGTGCATAACCATTTTTTTTTTTTGAGGGGGAAAAATCATCCTAATACCCTCCCGCCCGGTTGAGGTGAGAGGGAGTGTCAGACTCTTACTGACTAAAAACCACTCCTGCACATCAAGCAGAATCCCCGGCAACCCGTTAAATCTTCCGCGGCTCCATATCGGCATCAGCCTTATTGGGCCCCTTCTGTGGTGGCCTGATGGCTCCTGGTTTTGGTCAGGTGGCGAGTCATCCGTGCTCGCCGTCCGCAGGCCTGTGCTTACGGTGGCCGGAGATCGTCTCGCGATCCCCGAAGTGTCTCTTGCGACGGCTGGGGCGTGAGGAGGTTCGTTCCCTCACGCTCCCCGCCTCCTCCTCGGTGCATAACCATTAAGGAATAAATCCGTCCTTTATAACATGAGACTCAAAATTATTATGTTTTCCGGCTTACTCACGTAATTATTCGACGAGGAACTCGACTAGTTTCAAGCCATGCCATGAGTACACCCAAAAACATAATATTTAGTGTATGTCTCACGAAAGTGGGAATATAAATGGGACTCATAGCATAATAAGCGAAGCGACTGTCTTTACCACATCCCTTTGGCAAAAAAAAAAGAAGATGAATACTTCATTATTACACCAACCTGACAAATCCCAGTTCTTCGTGTTCTAATTCTTCTGCTCGATAAAGTTCCATTTTTGACTTTCGTTTTGTGGTCATCAGAAGTTTGATTAGCAGATCTTAAAACTTCTCTACGTGTTTCATCTTCTGTGAACGTGTTAAGGGTATCCTGATCGCACTTTGATAAAAAAAAAGAATAATTTAAGTCTTACTAAAAAATAACACGTAAAGTATTTCAATGAGAATCTGAACTTACGTGTAAATTCTCTAATGGGTTTTTACACCCATTTAATTTTGGTTCCTCATTTCCGTCGTCTAGTGCCAAGTTACCGTTTTCATCTATTTCTCCCTTCCCTTCAGTACATATCATAAATTCATCGATAACGTTGTTCATATTAGGAAACTTACTGTACTCCCTTTTGCATATAGTCTTATCTATAACCTTAACAGCTGCATACCGCAATGCCTCCTGATTGTAATTTTTTGTATCTCCTTGCTGCAACCAGAAAAGATTTATAATTATGATCCATGATTTTTCTATCTAATCACAATACCAAGTAATGGTTATCGGATTCGAATAGTTTATCCTACTAATATAAAGTTTGTGAGGATATATTTATGTGAGTCTAAGTTTGTTACTCTTTCACGCAAAAACGGTTCAACGAATCGGGATGAAATTTGGAACAGGAGTAGATCATGGTCTGGAATAACACATAAGCTAACTTTTTTAAGACTTTTTATCCAACGAGAACGCGGGCGAAGCCGCAGGCACAAGCTAGTACGTATATGTCGCAATAACGTTTACTGCTTTGCTGAATTATCATTAGGAACCACTGAATGGCAATATATGAACAATGACCCATTTTAACTCGTCGTGTACCGTCATTATAGACACAATTATAGAACAATAGGTTGCGGTCACCGGTGACCGCTTGGTGTTTGACAGTTTAAGGGAGATGTGTGCCATAATACCCATACTTGACAAGTGACCTAGGGATTGAAATCTGGTAACCAATTTGAAAATGCTGCTGCCTGACCGATGATTGTCGCAATTTTAGGACTTTCCGTTTAAGCCTTTGACTGCCGACAGAAAACTGTTGAGGGTAAATCCTCCGCTATCATGGCCCATACCTTGTCCTCCATGGCGTTCAAGGTGTTAATCAAATGCAAAGAATTAAAACTAATAGAGAAAATTAAATAATTAAAATAATACATAGTACAGTACAGAGAGGCGGATTAAACCTAGTGTGCCATTGGCAAGCACCCTAATTATTTTGGGCGCCGCCGCCACTCTATAGACAGTTGAGCACGCACGTCTTGCGGTGCCTCTATAGGCAACTGTAATTTGTCTTAGGAAAAATACGGCACTAATCACAGAAGCCTAAGCACACTTATGTTGTATAAAGAAACAGTCTTACTTGTCTCCAGATGTCTAGATGTCCCCATCCATATACTAAGCCATCAATACCTGGATCTTGAAACCGTTTCTCATAATTAACTCCTATAACTTTCGGTTTGTATGAACAAAGAGTTTCATACTGACTGTCGTTAAAATCATAAGGTGATTCTACTTTTACTACAGCTATGTCTATATAAGACCATTTTTCCACCTGATGGTAGTTTAATTCGTATTCTGAAAATAAATACAAAACCCGGTGTGTATTTTAATCCTCAACGTACAAATATTTTTTTAACATTTGGTTTGAAAGAAAAAATGAAAGAAAAACTATTTATTCTTGCGCAGAACACTAAATAACTAAAAACTACAAAAAATTAAAATAAAACGTAATATAAAGCGAGGATAAACCAAGGTAGGTATCATAGAAATATTAGAGATATAGGTACATATAAATTTAAAATACCAAGGTTCAAGGTGTTGGTAGTTAATTCACATATACGTATTTGCGTGTATGCTCAAAGACATCAAGTAAATGAAATACCTCTAACAAAATATGATGGGCCAAGTTGCACGCATTTCAAACAATTATCGTGCACACAGTTGAACTCTTATCTTCGTTTTACTGGCATTTATAAATTTTTGAGGTTTTTCAACAATATGTATGGTGTCTATTATTGTTTACTTTTTAGACATACTATACACCTCTCTATCAACCATTATACAATTTCTGCATAATAATAAACAAGCAAAGAATCGGAGCCACTAGCGTTTTTTAACATTTTATCGAACCCTCTACAATTTGAAAAAACGATATCTGGGGGTACGGCAGTGACCCCGCCAAGTCGAGTGCAGAGCATTCCTTATTCAACAAAATGCTCTCATTTTAAGGGTAACAAAATTGCCTTATATACGACTAATAAAGTACTTGTATCAGAAAATATTTATCAGGAAATGAAAGGAAGAAACGGTTAGTGGCTCCATTTCTTTGGTCCCAAGTGTATATTCATATAACCACTTACTCATAGGAACACATGTGTAAATGACTTTTTTCTTCATTGTTTTCGTACATTGATCAGTTTCAATGTCCTGGTCTGTGACATATTTTTTGTATCCCGCAACCGCGTATAGGTATTCCACATCATCTACGCATGCAGCTGATGTTATTATGAAGAGCGTTGATACTATAGCTCCTCCACAAACCCAACTGTCGTACTTCTTTGATGACATTGGAGCTTTTACTAAGTAAGCCTAGAAATAAACAAATGCTTATATAACACTGAAAACTAATATCTTTATTTAAAATTCCATCGTCATCCGACTCTATTAACATAAACTGCTAAACTCGCCTCACCCGGCCGAGAGAAGTCATCGGTTGATTATCCCGACACAAAAAGACCTCTCCAATGACATGCCACTGAAGTTGATCTTTAGCTTTTCGTAGTTATCCTAACACTACTAGTTATTTCGCAAGTATTGTAATAGCTATAAACTGCGATATTATGGAACTGAAAATTTTCTTTGCCTAATTTCTTAAAATCCACAATAGCTATCTCATCTGCGTAGTATATTTACTTAGCTATTTCATCGCTATCTCGTTGGCCGAGTGGTAGCAAGTGCGAGTACCGGGCAAGGGGTCTCGGGGTCGATTCCCGGGTCGGGCGTATTACTGAGTTATTAAAAAAATGTCAGTAGTAGCACGGAGTCTGGAATTATGCCCGGCATATGACAATAGGCTCACCCCCTATTACATGGGACTCATAACATAAATAGTGAAAAGTGGGTGTTACATTATACAGTGGCATAATGTGCACCTCTGTCTACCCTTTCGGAGATAAGAGGCGTGATGTTATGATGTTATGTTCATCGCTATCCTTAGTCCTTACCACGTATCGTTTAGTTCCAGTTACCGCTTCACCACCTTTGATTCTTCTATCACAATAGGAGACTGAAACGAAATATGGATATGTAAATATAAAATAATTTCTATTATTAAATTAAACAACTACTTTCGACTTACCAAAAACAATGTTTAACATTATTGCAATATTTAACTTCAAAGTCACCATAACTGTAAAAAAGTAACAAAACGACGAAATACCACAACAAACGAAAATCAACAACAAAATGAAATTAATTCTAAGCTATAAAGCAGTGCTGCTTTCACTATTTTCCTCATTTTTCTGATTATGATTAAACAGAAAATTCATAAACCCATAGTGACGCAGTTATCGTCTAATATCAACGTCAAGAATTGAATTTTTGTTTTTGTAACTGCATCTCTAAATCGACTTTTGCAACGAGACAGATTGCGGTTCAAACTAACCTAACTCATTGGTATCAACAACATTATCAGATTGTTTCTATCTTCTACTGGATATGATGTGCACATTAATGACTTAAATAGACTACATTTTTGTCACGATGCTTGACATCCACATTTCCAGTATTAGGTACAACCAAAAGTTAATAAAGTTTGTACAATTTTATTAGTGGAAACTTCTAATGCGGGGCCAAAAGGGAAAGACGACGACAGTGATACTGTAATACTTGGTTAAAAATTTAATGGGTTGCTTGATTTCAAAATGTTCAGTAACAAAATAATCCAGAAAATGTCCGTTGCAATTATTAGGGTTAATTAAACTATACATGTTTTGAAAAACCAAGGAAAATTGAAGGGGTTCAAATAAATATGACATCAAGTTAAAGTACAAAAACATGCATTTAATTAAAAACAAAACTTATAAGGTAACTGACAAATATTAAATAGTTACACTTCCTTGTGCGTACTGCTAAGTAGTGGAATTTTTGCCATAGTCTGTATTTCCTGAAGGGATACCTGGGTGTCTTCAAGGCCCGAGTGAAAAGGTGGCTTATGTGACGACGGCGACCGCATCATCGCTTAGCACCGGGTGAGATAGTGGTCAAACGTCGGCCCATCAAATATATAAAAAAAATATATAATGGTCAAACATGAAGAGGAACTTGTGGTCGCATTCTGAACAATTCTTGATTTTGGCTATCCATGGTTTTTTCTGGGATCGAAGCAGGAGCAAGAGGTGGTTTATATATTTCTGGAGGACGTCTATTGGTCAAAATAGGTCCACTCATTGGTACTGGACTCCTGATTATTGGCAGAGGCATGACATTTGGATTATATCTACCGATTGGCACAGGCCTTTGAGCCAAATAGTTACCATTCTGTGTCCCCCAATTTACTGGTACATTATTATTTGGTACTGGACTATTGGCTGGTATAAAATGATTTGTTCCATATTGTTGATTTTGAGAATATTGTTCATTGGCTACGTACCCATTGGGTGCATACTGGTAATTATTCCCATAACTATTGATAGCTGAATATCTTTCATTGCCTTCAAACTGATTATTTAGTATAGGTTTATGCACATTCAAGTATTCTTGCGTTATGTTTCTCGCATGTGCTTCAGAATTGATATTCACTATAGGTGTCTCTGCGTGTCGAGTGCTCTCTTCTGCTGGCTCAGGTGTTCTTATATCTCCGTTTCTACCAATTTTCTCATTTTCAGCGGCTCTGGTAATATTAAGAGTATATTTAATGGTTTTTGTCATAAGTGATGAGTTACCTATATATACCTATTTTCGGGACGCTACTTTAAGTCCTATTCTTATGATTTAAAGTACTAAAACTAATTAAAACGGAGAAAATATTTTAGAGCTCACCCAGCTGGATGATATAACCAGGATATGTGTCGTTCTACTGTGGGGTGACCTTCGTCCTCTGGTCTCTTTCTGCATACAGCTCGCCTAAACAAAGTTATTAATAAAAAATCTAGAGAAACTATGGAAAAATGCTTACCTTTCAACAATTTATTATTAATCTATTATCTACTAGGTACTATTTATTATTATATAATAAAATCGTAGGAACGTGAAACCTGTACTTTGAATTTTTTAAAAAGAATGCTTGAGGCCTGATCTACACTCGATATCGAAGCCAAAAATATGGTTTTTATAATTTTTGTCTGTTTCTCTGTATATATGTCCGGCTAAACTCAAAAAGTACTGTGTGCATTTAATTCAAATTTTGCATGAATATTACTAATAGATTAGTACAACATATAGGCTACTTTAATAAGTATCACGCTATCACCTACGGGGAAGGAGCTGTGAACCACTATTCTACGCGGACGAAGTGACGGGCACAGCCAGTTTTTTATATTTTTCTTACCTCGTATTACTTTTCTTTTTCTTAATCGGAATTACTAATTTATCTGTTGTTAAAATACAATCTAGGAATGCTCCATTACATTGCGTGCTTGTGTATAAAAAAGGACCCACACATTCAGAATCCTCTGACACTTTAAATACAGATGCTATGCCGATGAGGATTTCGTGGGTCCCGACCCAAGTAACTAGTGGTCCACCATGGTCATTCTGAAAGCAAATGTTAGAACTTGAATATTAAAAGGCAAATAACATTCTTCTTTTTCTTAATTTAAGAGTTAGCTGAGAAATTATGAAGTTTTTTGGAGAACTTAATGGAGAATAAAGATTTGTCGAATTTATTGCACCCAATGCGTTAATATTGTCACTTAATACAAATGCTTATAATTAACATTATAATAACACAGCCATATTAATTGAACTTATCCATCAAGTAGAAATAACAACATCGGTCGTTACCTTTATGAACTCCGCCAATAAGCAATTGAAAATATCTACTTTTTTGTCCAACGCTGTTAATTATTTTAATAGCTCTAGCCACAGGAGCATATGGACCTATGTTAGTTCGACAGAACTTCAAATAGTATCTGCCAATATAACTACCAAAATCTAAAAATTATTATCATTTAAAAGTCGTCGTTCTTTTTGGTCCTTATATCAGTGATAAATAGGGTTGACAATAAACAACATTGTGTACAACACACCTGACAAATTCCATGTCTACGACCATCAATATCATAAACGAGAGGTCTTTTACGTATAATAGTTTCATTAATGAACGGAGTTTCATTAGAAACATTCACTTGTTTTGAATTTGTTTCCTTTTCTATTTTTGTTTGTGTTTCATTCAGCGGAAGATTTGTCATTCCAATGAACCGTCTACTTTCAGCATCATCGTTATCTTTACATCTCTAAAAGAAAAATAATTTATAATATTGTTTTGTATGGTTCACATTACTATTAGGTAATTATTAATGTGTGTAGTGATAACTATCCGCTTTTAATATTTTCTTAATACCGTCTATTTTTTTAAACGGTTTTATTTAGCTCATTTATGGGATAAGTCTGTAAACGAGCATACGGATCACCGAAAGACCAGTGCTTACCGGCCTTTAAGGAATTTGGAATTTGAGGATTGTTGGGGATTCAGGTATTGGGGAGGTTGGGGAGGGGGGAGGTCATTTGGCTTTCGGTAACCTAACTCAAATATAACGCAAGCGCTGTTTCACGTCGCTTTTCCGTGAGGCCGTGGTATCACTCCGGTCGAGCTGGTCTATTCGTGCCAAAGCATGGACCTCCCACACTTTTCTTGTGCTTATTAATTTTTGAAAAGGTTCATTATTTCTTTTACCTAAGTAATTTATAACATCAATGTGTATTTATTTGCATACCTCTATATTTTTGTCTTTCGGTTTACATCCATCGTATTCAGGTTTTCCTGGTTCAACTGGATCACCACGGTCATCAATATTGCCCGGTCCGTATGTACAGATCATGTACTTATCTATCACTTCAGTCATATTTTCATAATCCGTATAATGCTTTTTACATTCTTCTTTATCTATTATCATTACTGGCGCATAATTCAACTTTTCTTGATTATGGTTTCTGGCATCGCTTCCCTAAAAGTGTGAATTAATTTTGTGGTGGACTTTTGTGAAGCAACTGACGAGCAAGACTAATCTCAAATTGACTATTATATAAATTTTGAGTATTACTGTGGAATCTGAATTTGTGTCTGTATTATTCTAATAGCCTCATTATCAATTACATGAGACTCATAGTGAAATAACTTTACCTTTCTCCATTTGGCCAAATGTCCCCATCCAAACACGATAGCATCAGTTCCAGGCTCTTGGTACCTAGCTTCATAGCTAACCGGTATCACTGTTGGTACGTAGGAACATGTAGTCTTGTAGGATTCGTCAGTAAAATCGTAAGGAGATTCAACTTTAACGACACCTATATCTATGAGCGCCCATTTGTCCAGTCTTTCATACCTTATTTCATAACCTAAAAGTGTAAGGTAATTTAAGTCTTAAGCAATCAAATAAAATACAAGGAGAAACCCGCTTAACTCGTCTAATGATGATAACTAAGTTATGATATGTGACTAAGTTTAACCGGCGTCGTCATCATCATCAACAGTCAATAGTGGCCACCCCTGAACAAAAGACTCCTTCTTAGTCCTCCACGTCGAACAACAACACGCCACCTGCATTTACTCCACCTAGTGGGAGGGCTGCCCACGCTTCGTTCTCCGGTCCGTGGTATCCACTCAAGTACTTTTTTTGGCCAATCATCTGTCAGTCCGTCCAGAGACGTAATCTGCGTACTCAGATTAATTTATTGGTTACGTTACCTAGCCCTAAGCAACTGTTATTGGAACAAAATCTTGACTAAGGAATAGTTTAAATAATCATTAAATATCTCTAAGACTGTTGATAGTTTATAATGGCCACTGCTGAGCAAAGCCCGCTCAAACACGTAGATGAATTTTCTAGAATGTGGTGGTATTTATAACAATGATGAAATTACTTACCCTCTGGATAACAAGTATAAATCACTTTCTTTTTCATTTTACTAGTACATTTATCTGTTTCTAATTCAGCGTCAGTGACGTATTTGTTATAACCAGCTATCACGTATAGGTAATCAACATCTTTGATGCATGCTGCAGAAGTGACCACATATTCACTGGTCACTAAGGCACCTCCACATAACCAAAAGTCATAGTAAACAGAAGCTATTGGTGCTTTCACTAAATATACCTGAAAAAGATATAAAAGTAGGTCAACCTATTCTTTTTTGTCAATTTCTTAATTAGATATTCGTCTATCGTTTAGATACAAAGTTTTAAATCTAATGACAAAAATTGACAAATGGGAGTAGGTTAATGAGCTAGTGTACGTAATATAAACCATCAAGTCTATTGATCGATTTTGAACATAGTGTTCAGTCTCTCATAATAGACTACACAACCCATGACATGGGGTATTTCATAATGGTCTATGATTTAAAGTCGACGAGATCAGAGAGAGAGAGATCAGGCCCAAGGGCAACCATTTTGAGCTATTCGATACACAGCTGTAAAATACCATGGAATTTTCATAGTCCGTCGTACTAATGTTATGGCGATGGCGCGTTAAAAGTCAATAAATATGATTCGTACCACATACGGTTTATCCTTCGTCACTTCTGTACCTTCTTGTATTCTTCTTTGGCAATCGGTTTCTAAAATACAAAAATATGTTCATTTACTCTCATTAATTGAGGTTCATTGTTTCATGAATCAATCAGGTCAATATCTTTTCTAATTATTTCTGAGTTGACACAATAAATGACTAGATTATTTCGTATATTATCTTTGCAACCGATGTCTTTATCCAGAATTAGGTCTAGAATGAAAGAGGCTACTTTGTATTATACACTAAGTACAATTCTAAGCGAATGCTTAAACTGATCAGTGCAACCAGCGACAGGGACTGTAAAATGTCCTACGTACCGAGTAAAAATACAAACAGTAACACAAGTTCTGACTTTATCGTAAACATTTTAAGTAGGTACTGTCCTTGAATTACTGATATAAGAGAATTTCAATTTTTTGGTTTGTTATTTTACTGCATATTAATTGGTAGATTAACTGAAGTTTGTCGTGTTTTATTTTTAAATTTTGATCAAAATTCACATTTCGTATAAAATATGCCTAGACACGTGCATTTCTATTTTTTTATAATTTTATGAAATAATTGGTAATTCCTTACATATGTTATTTATTTTTGAAAGCATTTGTGCGAATTTGCTTTACTTTCTTGACATAATGTTCATTGATCTAATCCCGATTAGGAAAGAAATTCTAATCCATGAAAAGTCTTAGTATCTTCATGTACGTGTATTTTTTAATTAATAGTAGTCAGTTCGAGAAGAGTTTTCTGTTCGAGAATCTCTACATTATCGATAACTCTTTCACTATTACGATTATAATCGTCTAACAATTGTATATTCGGTGATGAAGGCGTATTTCGAGTGCTCCTTACCCTATGGTGTCCCGAGAGTACGGCGCGTCGCGTTTCGCGCGCGCCTCAAAGAGCCATCAGACCACCACAGATGGGGCCCAATCGGGCCGATGCCGATTCGGAGTCGCGGAGAACCTAACGGGTAACCGGGGCTCCGGCTCGACGTGCAGGAGAAGGAAGGGGGTGGTTTTTAGTCAGTAAGAGTTTGACACTCCCTTCCGCCTCACCCAGGCGGGAGCAGTCATTCGACGATTTTCCCCCATAAAAAAACCCCTATGGTGTACTCATACATTCATTAAGGTTTTTCAAAAAAAAAATACAAGTTACAAAAAACAATAATTTAATGTAATAAAAAACAATACTAGCTAATTTTATTTACTACGGATTGGTTTTTGAGGTCGCATTTTGAAATTCTCGAAAACATTTGTATCTTTCTGACTGGTCGGTTGGTTTTGTTTTTTCTCTGCATTTTGTGTTGCTACTGGGTTACTTATTAAACTCTTGTCGTAAGCCGTGTTTTTCAGATTTGGTGACGAGTTTGTGTTAAGTCCTACTCTTGGCGGAGCACCAGTATGTGACGGAGGTTCAAAGGTAGGACTTCTCATATTTGGTATCCCAACACTCGAAGGATCCTGGTTTAGTGCCGTCTTAAAATTTAACGAAGATCCCATGTTTACAGAAGGTCCTAAATTCGTTTGAGAATCAAAACTCTTCAGTAGTTCAGAGTAAGACGAGGGTGCCGAATTCAGTATAGGATTAAAGTTTGACAGTGGTCCTAAATTTGAAGTAGGTCGTAAGTTTAACGAAACTCCCATATTTTGTGGAGGTCTAAAGTTTTGTGGAGACCCCAGATTTTGTTGAAATTTCTGGTTTGATGGAGGAACCACATTTTGTTGAATCCCTGAGTTTGGTGATGGTCCCAGATTTGATATAGGTCCCGAATTTTGTTGAAACGCTTGGTATGGATACCCTAGGTTATGTGGGCGATTCAAGTTTGGTGGGCGCCCTGGATTTTGTGGATATCCCACATTTTTTGGAGGACTCAGATTTTGTGGAGTCCATAGGTTTCGTGGAGGCCCTAAGTCTTGTGGAGGCCCTAAGTTTTTGGGAGGCCCAAAATTTTGTAAAGTGCCCAGGTTTTGAGGAGGCACTAGGTTTTGTGGAAGCCCCAGGTTTTGGGGAGGTCCAAGGTTTTGTGGACGCCCCAGGTTTTGTGGAAGCCCTAGATTTTGTGAAAACTTCTGGTTCTGGATAAGCCCAAGGTTTGTTGGACGCCCTAGGTTTTGTGGAGGCCCTAGGTTTTGTAGAGTCCCCAGGTTTTGTGGAGGTCCCAGATTTTGTTGGGACCCTAGATATTGTGGTAGTCTCTGGTTTTGTGGATACCCTAGATTTTGTAACGGGCTATTCGGTGAAGGATCCAAATTTAATGGAGGCCCGACGATTGGTGGAGATTCTGGGTTTTGTGAGGTTCCCAAACTTTGTGACTGCCACGAATTTTGTCTTATTTCTGATGGTGATACAATCTGCGATGACAATCCCATTTCTGGATATAAAGGTCTTATTTCTGGTAGAGACTGTAAATTCGAAGGTTTCATTTGTGATGCAAGCTCTATGTTAGGTCTCATTTGCTGTGGAGGACCCAAATTTGTTTGAAGTTCTGGCGGTGGACCTAAGTTCGATGAAGACTCTATGTTCGGTGATGGATCTGTATCCATAGGATTATTCGTTGTTTGCGAGGTACCCGTACTAGATCCAACCTCTTCCGATGAAGAATTTAATGGTTCTTCAATTTCTTTTTCCTCGGAAGACTCCGTTTTTGTTTCTGATGATTTCTGTGTTTGTTTCATTAGCGCCAAAAAACTGGCCTGAGCTTTATATTTTCCACTGAAACCTTTCGGGAAGCTGACTTGTTGCGTATTTCTGTCACGTAAAGGATTATCATTCTCATTTGAATTTTTGTCCGATTCAACACGTGTTGCAAACTTATCTTCTTTTCTTACAGGCTTAGAACGCAGCAATGCCTTTTCATTGTCTGCTGGCCTGTAAGAATATACACATGAAAATGTTACCTCATAGTGGACGTATACCGACTCACAATAGTTCTGATTCACCTATTCGATAAAAATATTGGACTTTGGCTTTGACTTTGAGTGCTATGGTAATAGAACACGATATTACGGTATTTGATAAATCAAAGGCTACTTACCCAGAGGGATGATCTTTCCACGACACGAATCTTTCAATTGTATCATATCCCCTCACGCTTGGAGGACTGTTACAAAATGCTCTTCTGTTAAATAAAAATATATGTGATTAATTGCGAAATCATGTTTAATGACATTTTTGACGTTTTGTCTGCTTCCTCATTTCAGTTTTCTGAATGTTGGTAAACCAGGTTTTCTTCACAGCAGACGGAAAGTACCTATGCTTTTATGTAGATATTAGTAAGTACATAGCTACGTAAGTACGTAGCTATAAATTATTTTCTATATAATTGCATTCTTGGCGAGTTACGAGCAATCAGATATTAAATTATTATTATAAAATACAATATTTTGCTTACCTATCAGCTGGAGTTTCTGTCTTTTTAGGAATCGGAACCCTCGGAGGCTCTTCATGTAAGGTACAATGTAAAAAAGCGCTGTTACACACTGTACTTGTGTACAAATATGGTCCAACACATCTGTTTTCTTCATCAATTTTAAATACTGAGGCAATACCAATCACTACCTCTCGTTTGCCGATCCAACCTATGAGTGGACCACCGTGGTCATTCTGAAAGCAAGTTATAAGAATTTAAAGAGGAACAGATGCTAACTGGTTGTCTACTTTTGTTTTGTGATAATAATGTTGGAAATTGATTGAGATGTATAGGAGTACATTACCTCATCACCATCATGATTTTCGTCCATTGCTGACAAAGACCTTTTCAATGGTACGCCACTGAGCTAGATCTTCAGCTCTACACATTTAACCACTACCAGCCAACTAGCTGGACCTCTACACTACGTTTGCCTAGACGCAGTCTCCACTCTAGAACAAGTCTACCCCAACAGTCATCGGTTCATTGACAAATAAATGTGTCCTTCTAGCGTCAATTCATATGTTTGTAAACTAAGTCAGAAAGAATGTTTTAATTATTGTTCGCTTACCTGGCATATTCCATTTCTCCGACTTATTCTGTATTCCATGTTTTTCTTAACAAACGTTTCATTAAAATTGATATTCCGTAGCGTTTCTTCTGTCAGACTTTCATTAGAGCTACTATTTTTTATATCTTCATCTTCAATCGTGTCATTTGTGCTCATGCGTTTACGTGTCTCATCTTTAGGGTAGTTTATATAGTCTACGAGAATCGGATCCCTTTTTGTTTCCATTTGACACTGCATAAATAAATAATTACGTATTAAAATAACGATTTCGGCCAAAACTAACTCTTTATTAAACATAATCTTGACATGACATGGTGTAGGCTTAATAACTTCAAACGATGAAAATACAGAAGACTTACCACTTCACCTTCTATGCCCATCAGTTTATCGTTTTGTGTAATGCAGCCATCAACCAATGTATGATTTTGCGATACAATTTCTCCCTTATCGTTCATGTGGCCGGCATCCAATGAACATAACATATACTTATCAATAGTTTTTAGTAATTCCGGATAGTCCTTATAGTGTTCCTTGCATAGGTTTTTATCCATTAGCAGTGTTGCTGTATAACGGAGCATTTCTTGGTTATAGTTGACTTTGTCACCATGCTAAAAATTATGATTAGAATTTATTATTGTTTTAGAACCTGCTTAAAATGACTTTGGAACCGACAAAAGATATAGTTTCTCCTCTGCTATGCTATCTCTTTATATGATATGGCTTGAATTAGCGATTACAATATGATTATAAAAATTCTACATGACCACATTTTAAGACTAAATTAGTAATATAAAATATTTATTACCTCTCGCCACATTTCTGTGTGCCCCCAACCAAGCACCATACCTTCTGTACCAGGCACTTGATGTTTAGGGTCAAAATTAATGCGTGCTATAGTCGGTATATATGAGCACATTATCTGGAATCTTGCGTCGAACAAATTGTAAGGTGACTCCACTTTGACCAATGCAATATCTATGTACGACCACTTTTCTATTTCATCGTAGGAAAATTCGTACGCTGAAATATTTTTGGCATAATATTTATTGTTAATATGGATGTTGCTAGAAAAATGCGACTTGAAATTCTATGTCTTTGTATGATCCATAGAAGCAAATGGAAATATATTAAACGAGTTCAGAACAGACCGAGATTTTTTAAAGATAAGTGTGTGGGATGTCGAATTTGGAAATAGTTGAATGCTATAACGATTTTCGCCAGCAACGTTGTGAGTTCTATATATATTTAAAGCCAGGAATATAATTTAACCTAATGCCCAACCTAAAAGACTAACGGCCCAACGTCGTCGTTGGACGTTAAATAGATTTATGTCCTAGTAGGTATAATATATCCATGACTATACTTATTGTACTCTTTGATCCATGACACTGCCGACACAAAACATTATTAAAAAAATACAGTATTTTGGTATAATTGAAAATGCGTTCAAGTTTAACAATTTTATAATGACATATTGAAATAGGCGGGATATTACCATACATACCATACAACCAACTCAAAGTCGTAGATCAAAAGCCATCCATCAGAATAATTATTTGTCAATACAATTTAGATTCTTTCTTCCTTTGACTTACCTACCGGCACGCAAGTGTATATAACTTTTTTCTTCATAGTCTTGGTGCAGTCATCGTATTCAATAAACTTGTCCTTGACATACTTCCTGTAACCTGCTATGGCATACAGATAGTCTACATCTTCAACACAAGCAGCTGATGTTATAATAAACTCTTTGGAAACTAATGCTCCACCACAAAGCCATGAGTCGTAGATTTTCTTCGATAATGGTGCTTTTACTAAATATACCTAAAAAATTATACTGGGTTTTAAAAATGTTTGCTTGTAACTGAGGAACTGGTAGCTAGCCAACTGTCGATGGGAGGATCTGATAATGTATCAATAAGACTATATTAAAAAAAAAAAGGAGCATCGATGGAATTTCTGTCTCGTCGGCCATTCAAGTGAAACATGTGAATTTATTTCTGCAAATAGGCTACAAGGCAGCACTTTTACAGTTCAATTTTATCAAGCGAACGATGAGGCCGATTGAGATTAGACTTTGGAACGAGCGCCTAGCTTTACTGACAGATAGACGAACGGATTAACTATTTAGTTTTTGACGTTTCAAGTGCCTATTTAAGGATTATAAATGCTTTGAGTTTGATTTTGAGTGTAAGAATATAGTAGATGGACTCTTACCACATACGTTTTGTCTTCAGAAACTTCACTACCGTTGATTATTCTCCTCTGACAATGGGATACTGTAATTACAACACCTAGCTTTAGTAATAATTTGATGGTTTTTTAAGTGTTAAACGACATAGTATCATTCTAGGACTGGCACCATATATTTTTTTTACCTATGCTTTAGCCCTACTCTCATAGAAACTGTGACAGTTATCATTTTATATTGAGAGGAATAATATTAAAAACTTCTTAAAACTTTTAAGCCTTTAGTCAAATGCCACCTTTCAACAAACGCTAGACGGTAGCAGATACCGTAACCAATGAAACTCGTAACTTCGAAAAATTATTAGCACTAACAAAACCACGAGCGATCATCAGACACTTACCATGAAAAATAATGAATAACAAAAAAAAATTGAGGAACATTTTAATACCTAGCCTTGATCATACTTCATTGTAACTACGAATTTTAATTTATCGGTTCGTTAGAACACAATGGAATCACAAATTAATATGAATTTTATTGTGCCTGCTTCTTTTTCGAAATAAGTAGTTGAATTTTATTTTAATTTAAGGCTGTGTTTAATTAACTTAATAGGTGGGTACGAATATATAGAAATGGTTTTTTTAAAACACGTGACGCCGTTTAATCGTCATTTTGGTTTTCTACGCAAAATGCATGCGTTTGTCTTATAATCGTCAATTGCTCAACGAATGCACGCATTCATCAAATGACGCTACTTGCCTAGTAGGCCTTAGTCATTAGACTCCTCACCAAATGAAATATGAAAAAAGTATTTGTATTCTTCTCAAATTCAATTCTTTTTAATTGGAGTGTATGAGCTACAGCTTCACCTCGATGGGGGCTCACCATTGATCACTTCTGGCTAATTCTGCAGTATACACAGGAATACATTACGATCTTATGACTATTCAAAATACCAATTAGAAAATAAAAAACACCATCGTTATCCACGTAATCTACTAAATAATTTATTTAACAAAAACAATGATTAGTATGAAATTAGTTTTTAGCCATATCCATACGGCAGATTTTGTGGTGGCATCGTAGCTTGATTGACTAAGGCGTAGTTTGCGTCCCCGTATTCATCTCCAATCCTTGCCACCATTCTGTTACCTTGATATCTTTCTGGTGGTATTCTGTAATCACTAGGAAAGTCTTCCAGTTCATCCTCAGGGTGATATCTATCTTTTATGTAGTATTGTATGTTTTCGTTATTATTTGTATTTTTCATAACTTGTTTACCGACCACTTGTTGATTAGCTGTGTACTGTTTATTTACTGCATACTGTTGATTTGGTCCATTTTGCACATTTGCTGAATTCCCTGCATCAGGTGCAAACTGGTTACCTGTATTTTGTGAGTTATAAATGTATTGTGCATTTCCTGTATTTTGTTGATTTGTGACAAATTGTCCATTTGGTATTCTCTGTGGATTAGGATTGAACTGTTCATTAGCTTTAATTTGTTGATTAGGTGCATATTGTCTGTTTGACATGACTTGCTGGTTTAGTGAATATTGTCCATTTCCTGTATTTGATACGTATGGTCCATTTGCTACATTTTGTTGTCCGTTTCCTGTATTTTGTTGATTAAGTGCATACATTCCATTTTGTTGATTATATTCAAACGGTCGATCTGCTCTATGTTGTTGATTAGGTTGAAATTGCTCATAGGCTGAATTTGGTGGGTTTGGATTAAATTGTACATTGATTGGATTTTTTTGGTTAACATCAAATTGTACTGTTTGCGGGTTTTGTTGATAATTTTGAAATTGATTATTTCCTGCATTTGCTTGGTTAGGATCAAGTTGTCTGTTTTGTTCATAGGGGTTTCCAATCCTTAAATGATTTTGACTTACTACAGATTGTTCGTTACCAGCATTATTTTGAATCACAGTGTATCTTTGTCTCGAAGCATTTTCGTTTTGTTCGTTCGCAGTATTAGTTTGCATAGCTGCATACTGTGCACTGTTTTGGCTTTCCGCGTGTTGAGCAGCGTTAGCTGCAGATTTTTGCCTTTCTATAGATCTTGCTGCTTCTTGTTGCTTTAAAAATTCTTCATTTGTTTGATATTGTTGACCTGAATATTGATTATTCGCTGCAAATTTTTGATTCGCGCCATATTGTTGATCTGATTCTGCGTTTTCGTTCCTCACATATTTTTCTCCTAGCACTATAGATTTTTCAGACTCCTGTGTCTCTGGATGTAGTTCATTTTGTGCAGGCCTGTTAAAATAATATTAATATAAATAAAGATGTCACAATATTAATTAACATTTCATAAAACTAGCTCATGCATACACGATTCCATTTACACCAAATGAAATGCTCCCGAAAAATGACTAAAAAGAGTTTTTACAATTCTAACCGTTTTTTTACGTATTATTCATACAAAATCAGCGTTAATCGGTTGATTACAACCGTTATTATACTAAATAAACATTTAATTTCTTATTTTTATGAAAATTACTTGTGTTGGTGGTTGTGATGGTCATATCACCTCTCGGCGTTTCTCGGGAGCGATCCGTTTACACTCTGTATAGGTATGTGTATGTATATAGTACTAATCTGAATTCTGGTACCCACTTACCCTGCTGGATGATCCTTCCACGAGATATGATTTCTTACAATATCAAAACCTTTCACGCTTGGTGGACTGTCGCATAAATCTAATCGTCGTCTGTAAAATAACTTATTTTTAGTGACAATTTCAATTATGTGTATTAAATTGCATTGTTAGATAATGAAATAAACAGCTAACATCTGTGCACATGAGCCTCTCCGATTTGATATTCTGATACTCTATTGCCGGAATACTGAAACGTTACTCAATTTGAAGTCGTTCTTTAATATCGTGCCATCTCAATCATTTTACAAAGAATTTGTAGAGACAGAACTTAAAATTGAGTAGCGTTTGAGTATTCCGACCTATGAGTCAAGTATGAGTTATTTTGTTTCCATGAAAACGTGACCTTTTTGCTTTTAAATTACACTAACCTATATTTGTGGTGTGGTGGGTTCGGTTTTGGGTTCGGTATTGGATCCGGTTTCGGTTTCGGTTTTTCAAGTCGTGTAGCACCAGTTTTATTTACCCAGTAAGGATTGTTCAAAACACAATCTAAGAAAGCTGAGTTACACTGTGTACTGGTGTACAGAAACGGTCCAATACAAGCATTTTCTTCAGTTATTTTAAACACTGATGCTATACCGATTATTACTTCCCGACTCCCCACCCAAGTGACAAGAGGACCACCGTGATCATTCTGGAAGAGTAAATTCACGTACTTAAAGCATATATTTTATTCCTAATTGATACAATGGAGTTTCTTAATTAAAATAGACATGTCTTCTATTAGAATATAACTACATAATAACCTATTTAGCGATAAGTGTTTATTTGAAACTATACTTCCTTTTCTTTTGGGGCATAAAAGATGTAAAACATGCACAAACAATGAAATATTAATAGCCACCAACGCTTCAGACGAATGGCTGCCAATACAAACTGTCGAAAGCCGAGATGGAGACGGCCGAGCTTGTGCATACAGGGGCTTTTGCTCAGTCTTAAAAATTCACCAGCAGGTTTTATTCAGAAGACCACTAAATTTAGATTTCTTTTAAATGATGTTACCTGACAAATTCCGTTTCTTCGGGTGGGTTTAGAGTATCTCAAATGAGCAGCACGCTTTATGTACTCATATGACGTGTAGTAATAAATTTTATCATTATTTCTTCGAAATTTGAATTCTTTATCGTTATAGTCTTCACACTAAAACAAATTAATACTTTAGTGAGTCAACATAATCAATAGAACCATTCTTTAGAAATTCTCACTACTAAATGCGTAGAGCATAGAACAGCTATTTACGTAGTCAGATCACCATAAACTATCGGTAAGTAACATAAAACAACATCACGCCTGGTATACCCGAAAGGGTAGGCAGAGCACATTAAAGCACTTACTGCCACTATACAATGCCCACTTTTCACTATTTTAGTTATGAGTCCCCTGTAATAGGGAGTGAGCCTATATCCATACACCGGACACATTTCCAAACTCCGTGCTACAATTCAAATTTAAAAAAAACCTAGTAATACTTTGCCCTACCCAGTAAACTCGATATTTATCAGACCACTATGCCAACGATGCCATCAATAAGTACTTCCCTAAATATCGTCATCATACAACACCAACTAACTCACTAGATCATCTGGTCCGTTCTTCCTAGCTCCGGCTGGCGCACATCCTTCCATCTTGGTAAAATCGTCATTAATTTGTTCTCCTTTATCATTTATATTACCATTTTCTAAAGTACATATCATATATTGCTCAATTATGTACGACATATTAGGATAAACTGAATATTCTTTCATACAATCCTTTTTGTCCATAATGAGCGTGGGAGAAAATTGCAAAAATGGTACATTGTAGTTATCTAAGTCGCCATGCTGTAAAAATATTTGTACAACATAAGTCAAAACGTTCCAGTAGGTCTTTACAGAAAGTAAATATTTTTGTAATAACTATCGTGAGACATACTCAATTAACTAAAATCGCGGGTTACTCATGTAAATATACTGAGAAAAGCTCTACTGGTTTCGAACCACAGCAGGGTTCTTCCTCATAAGCAGCGTGCGCGGTCGCGGCGACGTCGCGCATCTTACTGGCTGGCGTTGGCGATCGCCTCGGTGTTTCTACTTATGTTGCGAGTCCAACGCGCCCTCTGTCGGATACTACAAGCATTTGCTTCCTAATCCGGCGGCACGTTGGACGATGTTAAAGCGCACGGTACGTTCACCAGTGGCGCGGGTAGTCGGTTCGATTCCGGGTTCGGCACAAAGTCAGTGTTGCATATAACGCTTACTGTGTCACACTCCAGACTGCGTCAGCGTCTTCACAGCGTCTCCAGTCTGGAGTGTAGTAGAGCTTTTCTCAGTATATTCACGTTAATAACCCGCGATTTTAGTTAATTTAGAAAGTAAATAATATAATGATATGGCATTGTACTTACCTCACGCCAAATAGATTTATGACCAAAACCCATCACCATAGTGTCGACATTAGTTACTTGATATTTAGGATCATAATTGATTGGTATTATCGCTGGTTTGTAGGAGCATAATTCTTCATAAACAGGATCTTCAAAATCAAAAGGAGAATCAACTTTTACCAATGCTATGTCTATGTAAGACCATTTCTCCAATAGGTCAAAGTCAAAGTTGTAAGCTGAAATTATGAATAATGTTAGATTGCTAAGTTATTTAAAAGCATCACATTGTCTATTCTATCGTTTCAATCGACTTTAAAATGGAGATACCCAGTTTGATCATTTATATGTAAGATTGTTAAAAATCATTTCCTAAATTTGTTCATACAAAAGTAGTCTTTAAACATTAAAAATAATGCAATATGGACCATATTGTAATTAGTGGAGAGCGTTCACCGGCAACTGTTTGGGGATATACGGGTTACGTGTTTGTGTGCGATTAACTGCACTGCGATTGGCTGCACCGAATTTAACTCGTCGAGTACGACGAGTTAAATTTTTACACGCCTTTTATCCCCGAAGGGCATAGGCAGGGGTGCACATTATGCCACTGTACAATGTAACACTTACTTTTCACTATTTATGTTATGAGTCCCACGTTAGGGGGTGAGCCGATTGCCATATACCAGGCACAATTCCAGACTCCGTGCTACTACTGCGAATTTTTAAAAACCCAGTAATACTTTGGTCGACCAAAGAATCGAACCTAAGTCCCCTTGCCCTTGCGACCACTAGGCCAACGAGGCAGTCGATTACGATTGTGAAAAACGACCAAAATGCATTAATTAGTGATTGGCAGTATAAAAGACAACCATATGTTTGCACTTACATACAGGAACGCACGTGTATATGACTCGTTTCTTCATTTTCTTCGTACATTCGTCTGTCTCCAGTTCCTCATCAACAACATATTTGTTGTATCCTGCAATCACGTAAAGATAGTCCACATCTTCAACACAAGCTGCTGATGTGATCACAAAGTCTTTAGTCACTATGGCGCCACCACAAAGCCAGTGGTCGTAATTCCTTTCTGATAAGGTCGCTTTTACTAAATACACCTAGAACAACAGCTTGATTTATTTATACTATGGTTAATGAGAAGATGATAATGACAGGTTAATGTACGTACTTACATAATATGGTTTAGCAGTCGTTATGTTAGTTCCATTTACTATAGCCAAAGATGGAGGAATATGCACTAGAACAACAAATAATTGTATATCATATTATGACTGACTGTACGGTTAACGGTGATGGTCGGCAACTGGCTGCCGCACAACGTGTCTCGGATTGGTTTCCAGCATGGAACAAGTCTTTGTGTAATTTACAGATTGTTATTTCAGGTCTGAGTATCATGTGTATGTGAACTTGTATGTTTGTAAACGCAACCACGACACAGGAGAAAATCCTAGCATGGGGCAACGATTTTTTACAAAAAAAGAAATATAATATAAAGAATAATTAGTTTAGTTGTAAACCTCGGTAGCAATAGAAACGACTGACGAGATCAAACGATTGACGTTCGACAAAAGGTACTTACTCTGACAAAACACTAAAAAAATAAAATCCAATACTATCGTGAACATTTGAAAAGTAGTTCTTGACGTATATCAACTAACTGAACAAATTGAATTCCATTGGACTGGAACAACTTTTAAATTCTTTTTTAGTAATTATATTTGTAAGTTTGTATTGATTCTTTGACGAACTGGTCGTCAAGGTTTCTATAAAGAAACCAGAGTCATTTCAAAGTATATTTAATAGATAGAATAGATTCCTATATTTAACCGATTTCAAAAAAGGAGGAGGTTCTCAATTTGACCGTATATATGCTTTTTTATGTTTATTCGCCGATATCTCTGTTATTTATGAACCGATTTCGATGACTCCTTTTTTTCAGGCAAACTTAGGCAATGTATTCATTTAATTCAATAATTGGGTAGTTTCCAGGGTATCAAAAATAAAAATGTAATTAGTCCGTCAGTGAGATAATGAAAAAATATTAGACACGTATTTTTTTATTTTCTCGTATTAAGTTGGAATACTTAGAGACAATAGTGCTAAGTTTAGGAGTGGAAGGTTGTTACGTCATAACGTGCCACAAAATGTGGCACGCTGTGAAGTCACACAATATTTCAAATTAATATATCGTCGAAAGTATTTAATTCTGTAAGAAAAGAAAATTCGTGTCTAAAGTTTTAACACAAACTACAAGAATGTTATATTCATTTGAAATATCGTATGACCTCACGAGTTGCTGTTTTATAGGAGCGTGTGATGTAGCGACTTCCCACTCCTAAACTTAAGTCCGTTTTGTCAAAGTATTGTATTCTTGAATGACAAAATAATATTTTTCATTATTGAATTGCAGGACTCATTGGATTTTTAATTTTCATACATCATCATATCTTCTGCCAACTGGATTCCTAATTGGGTAATTGACGATAGCATCAAATTATGGAACCTTGATGAGGATTGCAATGAACGAAAGAGTATCACAATAAAATCGAAAATCTTTAGCTTAAATGTTTCTGCGCTTACCATTCACTTCCTTATAAAATACCCGTTCTGACCGAAATGATTTGTTTCGAATCCTGAATATTTGATACAGTAATAGATTTCAGTCTGGTATAATGTATTGACTCCTTTGAATTCCCAGAAGCGTGAGCTAAACCACTAGCAAAAGGTACTAAGAAAATAAACATCATACAAAAATCGATCCACTTTATTTTTTTTTTCAAATATAACATTTATTTTATTCAAGTAAAACTGTTAAGTATGCCTAAACAAAAAGTATTAAAATAAATCATTATACATTTGTTACACTTTTCTAACCTTAAATACTATTTTAAATTCGGAATTTGAACTCCGGAGACATCAAATGAAATGAGATGATGACCTTAACAAGAAAGAGCCAACAGATATTTTACACGTGATGATGATAATAAAATTATTTGAAACTCAATAATACTACGCAATATATAATAGAGAAAATATCTATAAATATGGAACTGCGTATGGAGAGATGAGATATTACAAAAAAACATGAAGTAACAACGTTTCAACAGAAGAGAACAAAATTTTAAAAATAAACAGTGCATCTTCCTAAAAAAGAAAACGAATGAAAAGATATGGATATTTTCAATGAATCCTTGCAACTAATACATAGATTGGCAATCTGTTGAACCCAATGACAATCAAGTATTGTTCATTAATTCAAACTATAGGAAGAGCATGGATGGGCGTTTGAGGTTGCGGTACAGGTTTAATTATGTGATCTACATTTGAACCTAAATCAGCTTGATATTTTTCACTGACAGCATTTGGCACATCTGGTTCATTCCCATTTGTTCGAAATACCTGATATTTCTCATTTATTGGATTGCCTTAGTTACTTTGGTTTGGCGTATGTTCTTTAATATTTCTTGTCCGTCTGTCAGCAAGTATGAACTTGTAATTACTTTGCGGTTGAGAATTTGGTGGTAAATTGTTTTTGCTAGTAAATTTATTATTGTTATATGTGTTTATGCCAACGTTGCCTTGGTAACCATTGGTTTGAAAATTTCTTTGTGCTCCATTACTATTGGGCAAATTGTAATTGCTTGGTAATCTATTATTTCCTTGTAACTGATAATTTCTTGATACTCTATCTGTTCTAATATTTCCAATAGGCATTTTATTTGCTTGCATCCCGTTATTCGTTTGCATTCCGTTATTCATTGGAATTCGGTTATTTCCAGTCATCCCATTATTTCCAGGCATTCTGTTGTTTCCATTTATTGCAATATTTCCAGGAATTCCATTATTTGTTTGCATTCTGTTATATCCGGGCATACCGTTATTTACATGCATTCCGTTATTTATTTGCATTCTACTACTTCCAGATATTCCATTATTTCCGGGTAAACCGTTATTAATTTGCATTCCGTTACTTCCAGACATTACATTACTTCTAGACACACCATTATTCACTTGCATTCCGTTATTTCTAGGTATTCCTTCATTTCTAGACATTGCATTATTTGTAGGTATATTTCCAGTATTTCTATTATATCCAGGCACTCTATTATTTTCAGACATCCCATTAAAACTAGGCTTACCGTTATTTATAGGCACTCCATTATTTATTGACACTCCATTACTTCCGGGCATTTTGTTATTTATAACACCATTACTACCAGCATTATTAGCCGACATACCGTTGTTTAAAAGTATTCCTTCATTTAGAGGTGGCACATGACCCTGTGTATTTGGCGGCAATCTTAAATTGCCTGGTTCATTAGCAGGAAACGTCACTTGTCCATTCAAAGTAACATTTCCAACATTATTTAACGCAGGTGCATTTTGTGGCAATACAGCAGCTTCTGGAATCGCTGGTGCTGCTAGATATCGTTCATTAAGGTCTGATTCATCATTAACAACGGCTTTTTCACTATCTTGCTTTTTATTATTTTCTTCTACAGGATTGTCTATTTTTGGTGCGCTTGCTCGCAACGGATTGTTAATATTAAAATACATTTTGTTCATAGGATGTTTTCCAGCTCCTGTTTCTTGATTATTCTCGCTTGACACAAAACTGGTACGGTTGTCGTTTGGATCAGATTTTGCATCCACCCTCGATCTGATAAGTCTGCCATTATAAGCAGTTTGGCTGAAAATTCGTTATTTTATTATTAAGAGAGTTACTTTGTTTCTTTATTATATTCTAATTTGACCAAATTATAAAACTTTAATTGTAACAATAAGGTTTAAGGAAATTATACATACTTTATACGCAGATGCTAAATATTAACAAATGTTTAACTAAGGCGTACTACTTACACAGGTGGATGATGATCCTTCCATCGTATAAACCTTTCCACGGTCTCATATCCTTTCTCATATGACGGTCTGTCACATAAATCTCTTCTGTAATAAAGAAAATTAATATATTTGATACTAATCATAGTGCTGTATAGAGCCAACCATATTTCAAATATTATACCATACAGGTATTTGTGAACAAGGTTTTCCTATTGCATTTTACTTATTACACAATTTTAGTTAGTAACATTAACTCTATAAAATTACATTATAATAATTATACGTATGTTACTGTATCGTGCATGAAAATAAAATAAGGTTTACTTACCGCCCGGTATTCTTAGGATCATTTTGGCTAGTTGCTATTTCGGAAGTTAATATACAATCCAAGAACAGTCCAGTGCAAAGAGTGCTCGTAAATAAGTAGGGGCCCATACAGTCATAATGCTCTGATACTTTGAATACTGATGCCACACCTATTAGGATCTCTCGAGCTCCTGACCACGTGATCAGCGGCCCTCCATGGTCATTCTGTAGCCAGAAAAATTATATAAGCGAAGATAGAAGTGGGAGAGTCATTCTTTGGCACGAATGCGCCCTCTCGACTAGGGATTGCAATCCAGCGGCGTTTTCAATCCAGCGGAATTTTTGCTGGATAGACCTGAATCCAGCTTGATCCAGCGCGGATCCAGCAAAACATACATACATAACATCACGCCTTTTATCCCCGAAAGGGTAGGCAGAGGTGCACATTACGGCACTTATTGCCACTGTAATGTAACACCCACTTTTCACTATTTATGTTAAGAGTCCCATGTAATAGGGGGTGAGCCTATTGCCATATACCGGGCACAGTTCCAGACTCCGTGCTACCACTGAGAAAAACCCAGTAATACTTTGCCCGACCCGGGAATTGAACCCGAGACCCCTTGCCCGGCAGTCGCACTTGCAACCACTCGGCCTATGAGGCAGACATTCATTTCACGATCTTCTTCTATCTCCATGGTATCTTCTTGCACCGGCTCTACAATATATTGTTTATTTACTCGTTTTAACAATGTTTTTATCTCCTGCCGTATCGCATTATTTTTTGGCAATGGAAAATAGCCAGGTTTTTTTACTGCTTCTTCATACTTTTTTGGATTTTTCAAGCAACAACCAACACGCACTTCATATGCACTTTAGTGACACAAAGACACTTTCTATCGAGACGAGAGCAGTTATTCAACTCATCAACTGTCTTTGATTTATAAAATAAACAAACATAAGCGATACAGTGGGTAAGGGGGAAAGGGGGCGGGCGGCGTTGCCTTCCATGTGGCACGTGCTATGGTGACAGAACGGCAACGTTGCCGTGCCGATTCGAAAATGGCGGCAAATCAAAATTAAACAATAGAAATTGATACGTTTGCGGATCCGCATCGTTTGATCCAGCTGGATTGCTGTATGCTGGATCCAGCAATTGCAATCCCTACTCTCGACCGGAGTGATACCACGGCCTCAAAGAAAACCGACATGAAAAAACGCTTGCGTTGTGTTTCGTCCTGTGAAGGAGGTTACCGGAAGCTTAATTTCCTCCTTTCACTGACGGACTGACTGACAGACTATTATTTATTTTGTATTTGTTGACGTTTCAAAAGTACCAAACTATGGTTTAATTGAAATAAGCATTTATTTCAATTAAACCATAGTTTGGTACTTTGACTTTGACCTCCCTCTCTCAATCCCTGAATCTCCAACAATCCTCAATTTCCTAATCCCCAAAAGTCCGGAAATGCACTTGTAACGCTTCTGGTGTTTCGAATGTTAATTGGCGGTGCTGATTGCTTGCCATCGGGTGTTCCGTTTGCTCGTTTACTGGTTTATCTCATAAAAAGATAAAATAAATATTAACCAAAACAAACTGAGAGAAAAAACACTAAAGTTAGACAGATAGGCAGAACGCCTCCGTTGCTGCACAAAGGCTTTCGACATTAAACGTGTCATCATATTTATATTTGGAGGTGGTTGTAGTTCAAAACTAAACATGAATAATTATGGGTTTCTCATTAGCTTGGGATTTTAATAGGCATCATCGTCATCATCATCAGCCTATAAGTACCCGTTGCTAAGCAAAGGCTTTCTTTCACACGGAGAAGGTATGAACATTAATCATAATATATTAATCATTTTGCTCGAACTGAATGGATGATTTTAAACTTATAATAATTTGAGTAATACTTTCAATTACCTGGCAAATACCACTTCTCCTTCCATTCCCTAACCAGGTCCAATCAAAAGTCTGGTTAAACCCAGCTTCCATATTATCGTAGTACGTTTGATTTAAAGGATCTTTTTCTTCTACTCGCCTTCTTGATTCACCACTGTTTTCGTCTAGTTCTTCTTCTTCACACTAAATATTACAATAAGTTTATATTACAAGCTATTGTATTTAGAGAAATAAAATTATGGACAACATTACTCACAGACACTCCTTCAAATCCTAATATTTTCGACTGCTCCTTAGTACACCCATTTTCTATTGGTAAACTGGTTACAATAGTATTGCCACCATCATCAATATTGCCTTTGCCTAGCGTGCATATCATATACGTTTCGATAACGTAACTCATATTTGTGTAGTCCTCATAATGTTCTAAGCAAGTCGTCTTATTGAGCAACAACGTTGGAGCATACATGAGCAGCTCTTGATTGTGATTCTCTCCATCTCTAGTCTGAAAATATTATTTTACCAGAACAATGTGTGCTTCAAATGTTTTACTATAATATGACTTTGTTATCATCAGCCTATGCCAGTTCACTGCTAGGAGCTAGACCATGAGCCTATCTAGAAGCTTTATCTCCACGATATGCAGATTAAAGTTCGCAATTTGCGTTATTTCAAATATCGTCGACATCCAGCCTTTACGACACTAGTGATAAAAATATGGATAATTGCAGTATCTAAAATGGCATTACTAATACAATTTCATCATGTTACCTTTCGATATTTATCTATATGTCCCCATCCGAGCACAAGAGCATCAGTGCCAGGCTCCTGATACTTCTCTTCATAATTGATTGCAATGGGGGTTGGTTTGTAAGAGCATAGTTCTTCATACGTAGCATCGTTGAAATCAAAAGGAGTTTCTACTCTGACTAAGGCTATATCTATTAATGACCAGTAATCTAGCTCTCCATACTTTAGTTGGTATCCTGAAATGCAAATATCATCAGATTTTTTTAAAATTCATTATTATTAACTACACTTCCCGTTTTTGCCAATAAAGCTAAGATAGGTGATATTTAAATTAATTTTGGTTTTCGCTAACCTGTAAGTGACTAAAACAATACAAGTAAGGGATTAGTGTGGGTGCTTCGTCACACTGAGTGACTTTAAGTTAAGTGACGTGTTTAGGTTTAGAGGTGATTGATGAATACGGCTATAACTGCTTTCACTGTGTGCGTTGCTTATAAGTCGCTGATATTATGCGGAGCCGTGAAAAGTATCATTATGTCATCAGTGTATCATTTTTGAAATTCTTATCAACAATACAAGATTAGGATTTGTTATACACGAAAACGATACTTAGATAAAACGGATACGCAGGTTCAGGACTGGAAGGACGCTCTCACGTTCCTGTAATACGTAGCATCTCCAAATATCACACGATATTTGAAATTAATGTATCATCGAAAGTTTTTAATTTTGTAAGAAAAGAAAAAGTTACGTGTCTAATGTATTAAAATAACCTAGTACAGCACAATGAAAAAATAAATAGGAAGCTACTCTCTTACCTTTTGGTACACAGGTGTATATAACCCTTTTTTTCTTCGACGCAGTGCACTTGTCCAATTCGAGTTCATCATTGGGGATATACTTATTGTATCCCGAAATAACGTACATATAGTCTACATCGTTGACACAAGCCGCCGACGTTATAACAAATTCACTGCTTACAATCGCACCACCACACAACCAACTGTCATATGGAACCTGTGATAGCGGTGCTTTAACTAAATATACCTAGAACAAATAACAAATTACATGAATTTATGTTTACTTACTTTCCTCACTCACAATGAACTCGACTAGTTTTAAGTCATGCTAGAGGCTCATATTCATGAGCAGCATTCCACGACCTAGTTACTCGACAAATGTCGAACAAAACTCGACAAACGTTTGGAAGCCGAAAAACATAATCATTAATTTAGAATGTCTAAAGAAAGATATAATATAAAAATTATATGAAATTCCCTATGTTCATTAGCATTTATTATCATTAGCCGAAAGACGCCTACCGCTGATTAAGGTCCTCTCCTTTTAATGATTGCTTCCTTGAAGCTAACATCTTTGCTTCTTTGCTTGCGGTTTCGAGATCGTAATCAGATCACCACGAAGTTGAAGAATATTGCTGTCCAGTTATCGGTTCCAGTTTTAGGATATACATGGGTTTAAACTAACAGAAAAGATGATTAAAACACTTGTAGTTTTGTAATGTGTTTTTCTTTGCCTAAACCTGTTTTTCCTGAAGGGAACCTGATATAACCTGGGTGTCTTCAAAGCCCGAGTCAATAGGTTGCTTATGATCAGACGTGCTTTTTCGTAAGCCGCATCATCGCTTACTATCAGGCGAGATACTGGCCAAACGTCGGCCCATCAAATATATAAAAATAATTTGTTTCTGTACTTAATGCACTTACCACATATTTTTTGGGTGTCTCTACTGGCACACCGTCTTTTATTCTTCTCGTCCCAGAAGTGTTCGCTGAACATAAAACAATTTTAATAAATTTGGTTACTGCATATAACTTCTAAGTATAATAATTATGACCAAATAAGACAACAATCATATTGTTTAACATAGCTTTCATGCGAAATATTGTAACAAAACAAAGATGAAATCGACCGTGGCCTAGAAGATCTATCGTAGACCACATCATCGCTTACCACCAGGCGAGATAGTGGTCAATCGTCGGCCTATCAAGTATTTATAAAAAAAAGTTCGACTCCTATTTAATGGGACTTATAACATAACTGAATATGAGACTGCAAAAGTGAATTTAATGTCACTGGTATAAAATCTAAATCGAACGAAACTTACCATAATGAATCATGTAAAGTAACAATAGTTTTAACTTTATTGGAAACATTGTAAAACATATCCTTGAATTACAAAGTTAATAATTATGATTTGAAGGTGTATTTCAGAATAATTGAATTACAGTAGAAAACTGAACTTTTATGTATTTTCATTATATTGTTGCATTTTTGTTGTATCACTTTTAATTAAAGAAATTTTTGGTTTTACGAGAATGCATATTATGACGCATCAACTACTAATTTTTATTAACCATTTAGTCCTTTATTTTCTATAGTTCAAAAAATACACTGGTCCCAGTTTTGCGACGAACACACGAACGAACTAAACATACTTTTCCTTCTTGTATCAAGTTTGAAAATTAATCACATAGTCTAAGAATTAAATGGAATTACAAAAATGGTGATAGGAAACAGCTATCAAACCATAAACCTTTGAAAGAATTTCGTGGTTTGTTTTACATTGATTTTCTGAAACATAAAAGATGTTTTCAATTTTTACTTTTTTCGCATTTTCTTTTATAGTACAATGTGAGTTATTGTGTAGATTTGATTAGATGTAAGTGTCAAGTTGTTCATACTTATGATTGGTTTTATTTTGATTAGCTATATTATATAAAGAAATTCACACCACACATATTAAAGTATGCTTGTGCAACTAATATTTGCATGATATACAAATCCCTCGTGTGCAGGAGGCCACGACTAAAGCAAGACTATGAATCAGATTGAATAAGAAGTAACTATGAAAGAAAAGGGAGTGCACTATATAAAATGAGTTTAGGAGAAATAGAATAAATATATGTTACAATAATCAAAATTGAAATAAAATATTGTTGTTTCTAGATACTTATTGTGAACGAAGAATTGTTAACGGCACCAGAGCACTTGGTGAACCAAAATTTTTGGTAAGTTCATGTTATAAAAACACCGATCAGATTAATTGTGATTACCCTTCGATCATTCGACCTTATTAAAATGTATAGATCAATACATTTAACGTAAAGTGCGTAACTTTTTTGTAAAATGTTATAACTTTTTCTTTAATTATAGGCATATTTTATAAAAGCACCACATTCACCAAAGAACTACGTGGGATGGATCTGCGGTGGAGCCATAATTCATCCATTGTACATACTAACGTCAGCTGTATGTATCGACGACGTGAGACACGTGTTCGCCATCGTTGGCTACAATAAGTATGTGAAAACCGAAGACATGGACAAGGATGACTGTACCAAACGTACTAAGAAGAGGATTGTCGCTAGGGCTTATCAAAAAGGTAAACATAAGCTCTTGGCTTTTAATCCCAGAGCTTTGTTCAAGGAACAGGTGTCGAAATTTTGTGGTGGTCCGAAGGTTTAAGACGCCCGTTTCCCATGCATGAGGGTGCGCGTTCAAAATCTACCAACGGCAAAGGACCAAAGTGACTTCTTCCGAGTTATATGTACTTTCTAAGGTTATTTAGATACCACTGACTTATGGTGAAGGAAAAACATTGTAAGGAAACCTGGGCTTATAATTTCGAAATACGTTTGAAATCGCCAACACGCATCGTTAATTGCAAATTGGTCGAATCAGTAACCAAGTAATAGTTACTGTCTTTGTACGGAATCAGTCTTTGGTTTTTATTTGCATATCTAACAGCAATCCTTAAATTTATTGAAATAAATTCTTTGATTTAACTTTGACTTAACTAATTAGGTACATTGGAAAGGTCAAAAATTGAATTATATATCCGTCTGTCTGTCAGTGAAGCTAAGCGCTCGTTCCAAAGTGTAATTTCGAATGAAGAAGAACGAGAAAGAAATTGCATTGTTACTCTTTTTATAAAAATTATGTTTGCAGTCTCATTGATACATTATCTAATTCTATACCAATTATATATACATATATGTCAAAACGATGTAACGACAATATAACATTAATGGTGCTACAAAATCAAATCCTGAAATAAAAAAAGCTATGGATGATAGTTTCAAACATGGTGCTCACATACGTACACTTACCATTTGAAATAATGCTTCCATACAAATAAAAATCTTTGATGAAGTCTTTAAAATAAGTAACTGCACACTTATATAATCACTATTTCATTTACAGATATAAATAGAACACCGAGTCAAAAAAATTGGAATTCAAGAGACATAAGCTTGGCGAAAGTGGAGTCACCGTATAACTTCAGAGACCCAGTCTATACGCAGCATTGCTCATACATGCCAGGATCGATCAAAGTTAACTTCAACCGAGACTTTGAAATGCCAGGAACTGAAGTCATCACTTATGGATGGGGACATAAAAATTTTATTCGACAGGTATAATATTCATTTTATTCTTAATAACTACCAACAGTTTCCAAAGGGATAAATCCAAATATGTTTTAATGTCCGTAGTGTAGATCGGTTTCAAATTGATGTGGAAGCAGTAATAATTATGTTAAGGTGTAAACTACTGACTCGTAAAGCATGGGTTTGTATATAACGCGAACTGCTTAGTGGTCGCAAACTTGTATGCCTAGCAAGAGATTTGAGGATTGTTTCTCGCCTCACAGTAATAATATTCCTGAGTTGTCGGTAAGGCAAACCCTGATAACAAATGTGAATAATAACATAACAGATAAATAATAATATTTCTTTTACAACTACGTTTTAAAAACACTACCCGAACCCCCCCTTTTTTGATATATGTTTTAAAACCATCTCCCAAGCGTAACAAATACTTTTCGGAAAAACGTAACAATATCGGTTCAGCAAATTGCAAGATGTCAAACTGCGAAACTCCTTTTTAAGTAGGTTAAAAAAACATAGATTATTGTAAACCACTGCCTGATCTAATACACATTTTCTATACAAAAAATGTACGCATTTAACTTTTTGTCAAAGGAAGGAGACCTTAAAGATCATAATGCAAAATTCGTGAACTACGCCTCAACAGTAGTTATTGACAAGGAGTTATGTAAAAAGATGCTAGTTGGACATTCCGATATACAACTAAACGTTCAGTATTTCCTCATCTGTACTGCTGGAGAAGGTGCCTTAGATGAGGGAGGAAAGATGAATAATGGTCCAGTTACTCCAAAGACCTTCAATGGCAGCACCCCTGGAATTTATCAGAGTGTAAGTAGATAATGATGGTTTTTGACTCAAGCCGTGTGATGATGGTCACCGGTGACCTACATGGCGGGTAACGTGTTAATGAAAAGGTTGCGTTTGACAAAGACTGCGTAGCAGTGCTCACTGAACATCAATTTGAACTGCGAGTTCTAACCTAGGTGGGTTGGAAATACTAAAAAAATTGAAATAAATATACTGGTTTGTGTAAAACTAGGGCTATAAAAAATTGCAGGTTCGGTCATAATTCTCTTCTAAATTCCAATAAAATAGATTTAACCTCGTTTCCATTGAACACTAACGATAAATTATTATATGTATTTCTTAACACAGGTATTGTCACGTGATAATTTAGTTAAACATAAAACGAACCACACCGACTTCACGAACTTGAGAAGACATGGACCTTGCCAGGTATCATAAATTATTTTGTATTTTGTAGTTATTGATTCTATATGAATGATTCTATTGGTTAAGTACACACTTTTAAACGCACTCAATGTCAATTAGCTAAACTAAATCGTTTTTAATGAGTGAAACGTAGATTTCATTGAGTTTAGCACAAACCATTATTAATTTCAAGATTTTTTCATTTTATATCTTTACATATCTATTGAAAGGCTATCAAGGCATCAGATATTAATGTCACCTTTTAATTTAATCACTAGAATGATCACGGCGGCCCCCTCGTCACTTGGATTGGGGGTCGAGAGTACGTCATTGGCATCGCTAGTGGTTTCCAAGTCAATAAGAAAATGCAATGCGTTGCTCCTTACCTCTATACAAGTACTTTTAGCAATGGGGAATTTATTTATTGTTTGTTAAGAAAGTAAGTAACTACTAAAATAGTAAAATAAGTATTATGTCTGTGGCGACACGTGTCACAAGTCAATGGATGACGTCATAAAATCCTACATCGCACATGTGAAGTTTACAATCAAATTAACACGGATAGAAAATCCCAACGCACAACTGTTGGGCAGAAAGCCCGCCAGGCACGATCACCTCGCCTGGTCGGAGGATCCTCCTTTTCCGATCTTAGGAGACTTTCCACTCTATTCCCTAAATGTCCATTTTCTTTTTAACACTAGAAAGACGGAAAAAATCATCTACCTACAAAGACGGCGAGCGGTCAAATGACTGCTCCAAGTTTTTTGATATTTTTTATGTTTAAGTGCTAGAAATGGTACCTATAGTATTATACATGATATAATATACTATTAAGTAAGTAATTTATACGTAGAATTTTTACATTTTATTTACGTTACAAGAGCCGCAAAGTGGCTTTTTACAGTTGTCACATACTTTATGGTTTTGCATTTGCATTTCTGTGTATAACATTTTGGAATATCTGGATTTTGAGCAGAAGATTGAGAAGTAAAAGATCTATACTCTGTAGGCAAGGATTCATTTTCAGAGAGTCTTCTTCAATTTTGTACTTTGGTGCTAAGTTCGCTCCCTGAACTATGTCTAAATAGCCTTCGTTTCATGTAATATTCTACATTTTCTTATACTAAATGAAGGAATTATATCTAAAAAAAAAATTATCTAAATTATATCTTTGCTAGATCTCAAAAATGTGAAAAAAAAATCTATTTCACCTTTGAGATGCTCCTAACATTTTGACCAGTATTTGCAACAAGTTTCACAAGACGCATCTGTATCAACGGATTTACCGACATTTGACCACTTAGAGTAGATGCCATCTGAGGTGTCTACAAGATACAGTCGATAGTTATGAAAAGACCTTGATGCTCAGGATCTTCCAAACTCCTTTCAGAGCCTTTATCACTACCATAGCAACGACTACACCTACGAGATTTACGACCTGTCAACGACTGATAAATATGCTCGAGGTATCTGGTCTTTCAGGTCAATTCCTTCCGTAGAGGAACTCGAACTGACAAGTAGTACCGCATAATTGTCGTTGCTATCACGTTTTGTACTTTCAGAGTCACAATCAGACTCATCTTCACAAATATTTTAGAACTAACAAACAATTTTTCATTTTCAAGACTCCAAGACGTTGCGACCACGAAATACTTACAATAATTTCATAAAAGTTCACAAGCACTTGAAATGATACGGTTTCATTTGATAAACAGACTATGAACAATGAATTAGTGTATATAATTTGTATTCTACCCTCTCATATTACACTTATAAACACTTATCGGTTGTTAGCAGTCAAATGACTGCCGCCGTCTTTGTAGGTAGATCAACATTTTAAATAATAAACAAAAGAGTTGTGATTTATTTTCATACATTATTACATTTAACTAGTAAAATGAAAAAAAGTCACAAAGTCTCAGTAAAATAACTCAAATTGTTTTTAAGTTATTCAACATTTAAAATCAAATTGCGGTCAAATGACTGCTCCCGTCTTTCTAGTGTTAAATCACGTTTTTACGGAAAAAGGAGGACGAGCAGACGTGATCCGTCTGATGGTCCTGATGGTAAGCGATTACTGGAGTCACAGGTGCATTGCCGGCCTTTATGCCAGTGCTTCTTAATCTTGTAGTTGTAATAGAGAGTGAATTCATATTCACAATGTCGGCCGTTGCAGAAAAAAATTTCGAACATCAGTTTCTAGTGTAATAAGTCATTCGCTTATTTGGTTCAGCATAATAAATTCGCTTACACGTAACTATTAATTAACACAATACACTATTTAGCACCCGACGTTCAACACCATGTGATGTCCAACCAGGACGAAAAGGCTATGAGATTGTTGAAGAAAAAATTAATTGGAACATAAATATTGCCAGAAGGTAAGGAAGGCAGGTTCAATAAAATAACAACATTTGACCTGTAAAATGTAAAAATCCTAATAACCTCATAATCTTGTGGAACAAGAATCTCCTAGCGGGCGCACTTGTGGTTATTCCCGAGCTACAAAATATATACACACAATTAAATGTTGCACGATTTTTGAAAGAGACAAACTCTTTCCGAAACTTCTGCAACTCCTGTATGCTAGGACCTAAATTTGTTACACTACTGTGTAACAACTTGCCCCACACTAGGATTTTCTCCTGTGTCGTGGGTGCGTTTACATACATACAAGTTTACATGACACCCAGACCCGAAATAATAATTTGTGGATCACACAAAGTGTTGTTCCATGCGGGAATCGACCCGTTGAAACCCGCGACACGTTGCACGGCAACCGTCTGTCCAGCCACCGCACCAACCGTGCAGTCATTTGGAAGCATGTTCTCCATATTATGTAGGTACTATTACATTTAGCTTAACCATACAAGTCTGCTGTGTTGCTGTGACATGTGCTCATGGGCTGAGTGAGCTGTGCGCTGAATAAGATGTCTTCGGTTATTGAAAAATTTGAGCATTGCAAAAACTTGTCTCAGTCTGGAATCATTTCCAGTGTATGGTAATAGGACACATACAACAATGAACAAAACAGAACGTCCCAAGGACATGAATAACATCTTCGATCACGCAATGAAATAAAAATATCAGAAAATACTAATAGAGGACAAAAAATAATAAAATAATTTCTATTTACTTCTACGAGTACAATTAAAAGGTGCTTCGAATCCACCCTAGGGCGGCTGGGGCCTTATTTAGATAACCAGACACTTTTGTAACGAAGTGTTATCTGATACTAGAACTATTTTATATGAATTAATTTGTTTCAGTACCCATTTAGAAGATATGACTCCTGTGGTAGATAACACTAAAGTGAACAAATCCAACAAAACTTCGGAACCTTGGAAAGACGCCGGTTACTTCTTGCAATTACGATCTACGAACCATTCCGATGACAAACCATAAGACCTCCTATTAGTTGTAATATTAAAGATTATTTTTCAATGATATATAACGTTTATTAAAGTAAAACTATAAGTTGAATGTTTTGTTTGCGTGTTTTAATCAACTTTCATTGTAAAAAGCTTTAGCTTCAGTTGAAATAAGAGGATTAAAATGCCAACCTAACTAACAACTATGATACCTTAAATCAAATTTACTAGAGACCCCGTTCCTGTATTAGATTTTATATAACGTCTAAGAATAGAATAGAATATAACTTTATTGTACACCATTAATAATACAGTATATATAGAAAAGGAAATGACAAATATAAATAAAAATAATAATGGGCACAAAGGTGGTCTTATCACTTATAGTGATTTCTACCAGACAACAGTCTAAG